GCTCTTCCGATCTCCCCAAAACCCCAAAACCCCATGAGTTGAATTAGTAAATTATAATAAAAATGAATTTTTACAAAAATTTAAGGATTATTGACAGATAGTAATAGGGTTGATTGAATGGAATTGAATTCAGTTCTTAAGATGATCACTGATGGCTTTACTAATATATAACAAGCTTATTTGTCTCTTCGACTCAATAGCTACCAGATTTAGGTAGAGCTTGTCTTTTACAGATAAATTAAGGGACTCTGTTGAATTCCCCTTTGATTTGTCTGTGCTTGAATTAGTACTTGCCAAAGGAGTGTGGCATCTTGAATCACTATCTTCTTTAAATCTTATAAGATTTATAGAATTTGCTTGGTTATAGATTTCTTTGTTAATTAGTTAAGGATAGCATGCTACCTTCTTGACAAAAATCTTAAAAGCAACTGGAAAGACTTTATTGACCATTTGGTAATCAAAGCTTTCACTTTCATCTACTCCGAATATTCTTTTGACATACATACTTATGCAGTCTATCATATACTGGCTATCCACTCTATTTGTTTCATCATGACTAAATTTGTATTCAGACTGTAATATGAGTCTGAATATTGAGTCTAAGTTCTCTGTGATGTCCGGAGCCCATTGAGATAGAATCTCTATCGCATTCAAGTCCCATGAGAAGTAAGATGAGAATAGGAACTTATCATTGTTCATTTTGAAGTCGGTGTAGGATATGATTTTATTCTCTCTATGTTTAGAAAATATATCAGCTATTAAAATCTTATTAATTTCAATTATTACTTACTCTCTGTTTCTATAAGTTTTATTTATTAAGTTTCCTCAGAACTATCTTCAATGAAATTAGAATCAGTCGTATAGTCTTCACTCGTAGATTCAAAGATAATAGTCTAGTGAATAGGCATCTTTTCCTCTGATATCTGAAAGTGTACTTTCTTAGGATGAATATCTTTCTCAGCAATTTCTTATTATTAGTCAGAAGATTTTCCTGATATTAATTTTGACTATTTGTCAGGCGTAATATTCGATCTCTTCGAAGTCAAATCAAAGTTCAAGGGAAGATCAATCTGAATTAATACTAGTTAAGAATTTGATGATCTTACTTCTTCTTTCAAACCTTGTCCAAATATAACTCCACAGAGACTGTGGTAATGAACAAGAATTAAGGTTGCATGAACAATTTAAACAAAATTCCATTTTTCATTGGGCTTTTGGATATTTAGCAAAAACTATGTTTTTGTGGTCAAAATAAAACTATTATTACCTCCAACTAGTAAGAATCTACAGCCCAGGGTTTATGAGCAAGCATTTCATTAAGCGGAGCAATGTGAACTAGCTTTGGATCAACTGCTTTGAGTCCTTTTTAAAGCCATTTAATGTCTCCTCCATTTAAAATAAACTGCTCCTCTTGTATCTTTAGCAAGTACTCACAATTGTAGCAACTTACTGCCATAATTGACAGATAGTACCTGTGGGTTACTGGCAAAATATTCAGAGAGTTCATAATATCATTTTAAATTTTGAATTACAACTGAAGATACTCAGGGAAAAAGCATAGAATTCGCTCGTGATGTAGTAGCCTTCCGTTTGTGATAAAGATATCAATTAGTAATTGCTGTAAATCAATTTCAGAGTCATTGTCGTAGCTATTACATGATGGATCTCTATCTCCATCATCTTTAGCATTGAACATAGATTCCCCGCGTTTTACCTGAAATTCTTCCTCCTCAGAGACAGTAGACTGACCGCTAGCTGACGTCAGCTCCAGCGGTGTCTCAAATATCTGTGGCACCTAATCCAGATTGTAAAAAGAGCTTATATCATCCTCTTTGTTTGTTACCTGACTCAAAGGCAAAGTCTATTTACATGTTATGATTACGTCAAGTCGAATTAATCAATAAATAAAAGATATATAATTCACCTACCTGGTATTTCACAAGAACGCGATAAAACTCATCAGAGATATCTCTAATCGGGCATTCAAATGCAAATCTCTTGAACACCTTTAAATAGAAATTTAATGTGCTATAAGTTTTGTTTTTAACTAATATTGGCTATGCTTACCCAGAATCACTTTAGTCTTACTCAATATCTCATTCAATCTCATTTATCACATGTTTGCACTATAAAGATGATTGTTGATTATTTGGCATTTCATAGTTTTAGGAGTTTCATCAACTTACATATATCTAACGATTGCCTGAGTCAAGTAGCAAGAAGTTCTTGAACACTTTTTGTAAAGTGAAGTTTTTATTATCTTGAATTGAATTGCTACTTTTAGATTTTTACTTTGATTATTATTTGTCAGGTTTTTCTTTAAATTTAGTTTCCATAAGTATTGCAGTAATATTAGCTTATTATAATCGTATATAATATTTGCTAAGTTTTAAAAATGCCGCAGCCAATTAAATTTCATTTAAGGGGTTTTGGGGTTTTGGGGTTTTGGGG